TTCGTAGCCTGCTTACGAGCGAGAGAGATAAGGCTGTCTGCTACTATCGAACTCTCGGTTGACTATAAATGTTGTTAGTATATATATGTTATATTATATTCAAGTGTGAGGGGGGAGGGGGTTTAGGTGGTCTGACCTCTGGATCGTAGATGCAGACCACAACGACGGTGCCGGGAGTGACCTTCTCAATGGCATCGAGGTATCCCGTGGCATCGACGGTGTCAACGTTGCCGTACCGTCGCTTGCTCGGACTGACTCGACGGGTCGCCTTGTTCTGCAGCTCCTGCATGCGCGTCTCTCTCCACTGGCGCATGAAGCGCTCGTCCTCATCACTTCCCTCTGCGGAGTCGTCGCCTGGACTCGAGCCGCGGTGGATGTAGTTGCTGTTGGTGTTGTTGTTGCTACTGCTGCTGCTGTTCTTGTTGTGCTTCTCGTTCTGGTTGCTGCGGGAGAAAGGGTTGTAGTCGAATGCGCTGGCGGAGGTCAAGGTGCGCCTGAAGGAGCGCTTCTTGGCGCGCTCAAAGGACTGCGCATCGGCGATGACGCCCTTGGGACCCGTGTTGGCGTCGTAGATGGTCGACGGGATATGGTATGTCGCTGGCTTGGAGACCATGGTGCTGGAGAAGTCAATGTCGCTTTCGTCTGAGTCTCCTGCTGCTGCTCTGGCGGCGCGGATGCGGTTGGTGCGCTTCTCGTTGTGCTCGTCCTCCTCGTCGCTGCGGTCGTCGTCGTCGTCTTTGTATTCGTCTCCGGAGAAGTGAGCAAGGTCTTCTGGATGGGCAGAGGGCAGTTTCTTCTGGCTGTCTAGCAGGGCATCGGCTTCGTCTTGGGCGGAATGAGACATGGCGGGCGCTGTTCGCGGGGAGGGGAGGCAGAGTCAGTATATATAGAGGGAAGAGCGCGAGAGGGATACGGATGACTGGGTGGGTATTATACTTATTTTGCTGCTAGGGCGCTGCTAAGTGATCGACTCTGTTCGCTCTGGTGCCGTTTCTTTGCTTTCTTCGGCCTTTTTCAGGGGCTTCTTTTCTTTTCTTTGGTACGGCGTGGCCGCGTGGTGTGAGGTGTGTGTGGTGTGTGGTTTGTGTGGATGTGGATGATGTGTGAGATTTGGTGATTCTGCTGGGATTGGATTGGGCTGAGCCAGAGGAAAAAACAACGACGAACCACAGGACAGTGACAGAAGAAGAGGAAGAAGCAGACGACGAAGAAGAGACGAAGAAGACGAAGAGAGCCAGAAGAAGCAAAGAAACGGCCTAACCTCGGGTCGGCCACCAGCTGGGGATGTCCACTCAAGTCCCTTCCTCTACTTACGAGCAACCAATGGGCAGCGGCTAGGAGTGTTTTACAAGGCCCGCGGTTGGGCAGAGCAGATGGAGAACTCCCCTTGCAAGGGGGACCAAGAAGAGACGAGAGAGAGACGGTGACGATCAACAGGCCAGCTGAAAGAGAAAAGAGAGAGGCTGCTGGCCAAAGCAGACGAGATGGTGGTGAATCGAGAAGAAGCAAGACGCAAGAGGCTGTTTCAGAAGGTGAAGCCAGGGGCAAGGCAACTCTTCTTTCTCGTCTTTCTCTCTGCAAGTATCTCTGTATCTCTGTATCTGGCTCGTATCCAGAGATAGACTCAAGCCGTAAGTGGCCAGTCCAATCCTTTCGGGCTCTTTTTGCTTCTTCCTCTCCATATTTCCAGACAGACGCTGACTCTTTGCTTCTTCCTTCTTCCTGAAACCGGTTACTGGGTGCGCCAGAGGGAACGAGCGCTAACATTAGACTCGGCTGAGTTGGCCGTTTTTATATGCATGATGAAACACGGAGGACAACAGACAACAGCGATACAGAGACACAGAGACACAGAGACACGGAATGAGGACAAAAAGGAACTGGCCCGACGAGAAAACAAGGCTTACGCAGTGACTGTTGATCTCGGATGCTCCGTTCGAGCACATGGGAAACTGATATATCACCGTCTGAGGGCGTCTCATGCTGTCTCTCTTGCTCTACGGACGGAGGATACCGAAAGTGACGCCTCCGTAGCTTGCAACAGTGGTAGCTACATACATAACTAACCTAACGCCGTAACTGCCAACGGCTGGACAAGATGGAGACCTCCGCAGACAGAGCGTTTAAGAGTGGATGCGTCTTCCGGTGCATCCACGGTTGGATTAAAGGGAGGCCAGAGGCAAAAGGAGAAGAAGAGAAGACGTCCATGATCTCGGCAAAAAGCCCCTTTTCCACGTGGATCGAGGCTTTTTTTATCTTAGCACAAGGAAGAATTGAAGATGAAGTTTTTTAACTTATCATCCTTGCTTAACGCCCGTCCCCCCTGGCGAGAAGAGGTCATCAGGGGGCTCTGTGTCGCGTGGCTTTGTTTCAGGATATGAACAAGCGCACGCTACGGAGGACTTGGCTCTACTTAACTAACTTAGTTATCTTTCTTTTCCTTTTTCTCTCTTTGGTCTAGCGAAGTTTGTGCTGCGGTGGTTCGATGGAGTCTCTGCGTTGCATCGGGATGTTGAACCGCATATTCCGTGTCTCGAAACGATGTCTGGAGTAGTTACTACTTACGGAGTATATGTGCATATACAGACAGACATACAGACAAACAAGCATGGGCTTGTTTCCCTGTCCGATGCAGATAGAGATAGAGATCTTCCTTGCAATCAGTTAGTTGGGCTTTTTCTTTCTTGCCCGACCCTGCCAGCATGCGATGGAAGGACGGATGGTTTCTCTTCTCTCCCCTTTGGCCGCCGTGAGACCGTTGTCTTCGACTCTTCCAGCCCTTCCTTTATCTTGAGGCTATTCTTCAGGTCGTCTTTTACCATTATCATTATGCATGATCGGCGCTGTGGGCTGAGATATCGACTGGGCCAGCCTGCGATATAGTTATAATTCGCTGAGTTATTATAATATATCTTGCCGAGTGTTATTATTCCTCTATTCGACTGCCGACATGCAGGCGTTGCAGTGGCCGTTTCCACAATCCTATCACCTGCAGCGATATCACGGTATACATTGGGCTGCTATTGCATGTGCAATTGTCCCATCACGCCTTGCTGCAGGAGGATGCATGTACTCCTTGTTTCGAGGTCGAAATCTTCCGTACTTACGGAGTACTTGCCATAATAGCCAGAAAGACGAGAGATAGAGATCCTTTAACTCCCGGCTATCTCGGCTTATAAGTAATACTGGTTGCTTGGCCGGAGACATGCTCGAAACGTCTCTTATGACTGCATATAGATCTGCTCCGTACAACCATCCAGGTTGCCAGTTACTCCGTACGGAGTATACACAACTCGCCTAGTCCTCCTGGAACCCCTTTCCTCTCCATTGATTCTTATCTATGAATAAGCATGGCTGTTTGCATGTTATCATGAGCACCGTCCCAGGCTTATGAAGCCCTTATCTGCTGAAAGTAAAATAAGCTCTTTAACTTCAGCAGTTTGATATCCCAGATACAAGAGGGAGAGAGGACAAGACACCTTCATTATCAGGAAATGTCTAACGGTAAGATCCAGAAGGACTGACAAAAGCTATGTCTTCCCAACCACTTCTTATTCCATCCAATTAACTCCCTTTATATTATCAACGGTAAACAATCACTCTTGGGTGCAATTGAATAATTCAACCTGGGTAGCTCGGCCTGAACAGGGGCAACGAACTTCTAGGTGAGCTACCCCGGCCCGACAAGGGAATATATATAGTAAGAAACCCCCTGAAGCTCTCATCTTGACTGTCCCGAGGTCGAGTAAGGGCCTCCCTCGCAAACGAGGTGATCGTCCATCTAAACAGCCAGCATCTCCTTTTATCCCGTATTACGACCCTTGTTGCTGGTTGCTCTGATGGTGAAAGCAGCCAGTCGGAAGACAAGCCACCAGATATTATTTCTCGCCTTACTCTCACTCAAGGACAATGACATGGATCTTGCCGCTGAAATGCTTTTCTTTATCTTAGAAATAGCCTGCCGAGCTGCTAAATAGTTCGTCGTCGTCTCTTGTGGCAAGTTCAACTCAGCCAACAAGTTAAGGCTCGCGATCTTCAACGCTATCAGCGCCATCAACACAGAAATCTCCACTGTTAGGAAAAAAGGTTGGTGATAATACTTTAACAGCATACTTTACGGAGTATATGTATTCTTTTTATCCAAAGTGAGCCAACGTCAGCTTGGGGCAACTAACTGGCTGAAGATGTCGCATGTGCTGAACTTCCACCAGTTCTCGCCTTGTGACAATCCACGCTGTCAGCCAGAGGGCTGGGACAAGCCACTTCTCATGGGTATTTCTTATATAACCAACTGGCTAAGAAACAGATATGATGAGATCAACTCGTTGCTAGAGATACCCAGGCTGCTCATCTCCTTCAAGCGAGCATGGATGGCCCAGGGAGTACCCCCGACTGCATAGCCCAATGGCGGACGGCATACGGAATTAGAAGGGAGGCCTTGATGTTCCTTATATATCATGGGCCACGCATTCCTGGCCGACTATCACCAGCTAGCCGTCGGAGGAGACCCTTGACTCCCGGGCTACTGGCCTCCTTACCCAGTCAGCTGGTTGTCAGGTCTCACTCGGATCAAATATTGGCCTCTTTCAAAGCTGTCTCCATAATCCAAGACCACCTGAACCCGCGATTAACAGCAACTCCAATGGCGAGTACAACATCAATTAAATGCTCTGAGCTTGATCATCTCAATTGCCATCTCCACTTGGAGACCTCGGAACAGAAGCTCGCCTAAGCAAGCTCAAGATCACTAGAGAAGGCGTTTTAGAGGGAAACTTATCCGTGAGGTCCGATACCAACTATCATCATGGTCATGTTGCCAATCCATGATTAGCCTATACACTAACTATCGAGGCTGCAAGAAATAAATTGAGATTCCACTTTAGTTCGCCAGATGGCCGCCGAGGCCTCCCTTTCAAGATACAGATCCCCCCGGCCCCGACTTTCCGTTCAAATAGCTGATGGTCATTAAAGCTTCTTATCAGGTAGCTTTGGCGTTTGGAGCAGATCATGCTTCTATGTGATGTGCATTAATTAGACGATGCATCTCGTTCATCGGTTGCCGGTAAATTGCAATCGTCTTGCATCTGTACCAGCCTGTCCCATAAACTGCCAGTGTCAATGGCTCAATGCCAAGTTAGTCGCTCAAGTGGCTACTGCATAAACGGATTGCATAGCAACATCGGAAATTTACTCCGCGCCATCGAACAAGTTAGTAACTGGTTCGTCTTGTCAGGAACGAGAAATGAGACGCTGTTAGTCACTTAGTTGCCGCGGGTGGCTGGGTCCGAATTTTGAGGGCTTAGAGAGCTTCTAGGGACATTATGGGATAAAGTGATATCTCGTAAGAACTAGTTAACTAGCCAGCCAGTTATTGAACCCTGGAGCTCCTCGGAAACCGCTTGTGCGTCCCTTGAGGCGTATTGAGATCAGAGATTGGATGGACATGGATTGACGGACCTCTCGCTTATACAAATGATATATATAGTTAGACCACGAAGCGCTTCCAACCAACCACCCCCTGCACACCTTTCATCTTCATCCCTGCTACTCTCCGGGGGTAGTTAAATAGTTATTTTAACTAACGACCTAATCAAAGACGAAGATCAAATGGGATTAAAGTGATACCAAAGCTCACGTCCAACTATACGTAGTTAGAATAAAACTATCAAGCGAAGTGGACACGCAAATCCTCGTTTAATAGTTAAGCATTTTTACCCCTGAGTGAATCCGCCGGCATCCGTCCTTCCGGTCATAAAGAGAAAGACGACCCTGTTGGGCGTTTACGTCGTCAGTCTCAAGCATATCCATCGCCAAAGGCCACCGCATGTGTCTGATTTATGTACTCGTTTACTCCATAGCAGAGTTTGCTCGCCTCTTGTATGGCTAGTATCTCAATAGGAGTGGCGGACCCCAGCAGCCATCGAAGATCTCTGCTCGATCAAATCGAATTCATACCCAGCGACTGGCTTCGGATAATTATGTCCATACGTTCTCTCACAGTTGGTGGCGCACTAAGTCCAATAGTCAGTTGCAGATCTGGAGACGATGTTAAGATGTCGCCCGCTTCGAGAACGGCGGCTGCTTCCATTGCCATTCGAGAAAAGCAATGATGATTGCCGCCGTTTACCTGAAGGACGTCCATATAGTCCCTTCTCGTCCGCAAACAGGTCTTCTTTCTGACGAGGCTTCTATCTTTTCTTGGGTGTGACAGAATTCTGTTTTGTGGGAGACAACTACCTAGGGAACTACTGAGGCGTCGATAATAAGTATCATTCGGTGCCAGAATGCGCTTCCTATTGATATTGAGCCTGGCCTCGATGGCCCTGGCATCACCTCTTGCTACCTCGCATTTGACTGCAAGAGATGAAGTCTTCCCTCAGTGTGCGGTAAGAGAGACCAGCCGCCTGCTTGAATGATTGTGATATAACGAACTCTAGCTAACGAAACTCTTAGACCGACTGTCAGAGTCAGGTCATTGCCAGAGCTGTGACAAAATGTTCCGCAGACGATATACCCTGCCTCTGTGCAGACGAAGCATTCCAGGGAGAGGTTGCCAGTTGCGTAATGAAACACTGCACTGGAAGCGAGGGACTGAGTAAGATTTCCCAAGGTTACTTGCTTCGAGACTCATTCAGCATACTAAGACGATAAATATGATATAGTGGCCAAGCATCTCAGCTCTAAGGCTTGTGGCATTATCACCAAACCGCTATACGCCGAAGTAGATGCGGGCACGCTTATCCCGTTTCTATTCGCCAGCTTCTTCTTCTCAATTAGGATTGCATCTAAAGTGATGCATCTGGGCGGTGGCTGGGGCCCTGATGATTATACCATAAGCGTGGCATATGTAAGACAAACTCCCGCTAACTAGTGATTCAAGGCCATTTGCTAAATGTGTCTAGGTACTTGCTATTGTGATTTATACGCTACACACTCAAAGTAAGATCAATTTTCCCCAATACACACGGTAATGAAATATTGCTAACAATCTTTTTAGTGATTCGTTATGGCTTTGGAAAAAACATATGGGACATTCTTCCACAGGAGGATATAACAATAGCATTCAAGGTTTGTTATGACCATACCAAGATAATGAAATAGAAACATACTAAGTATGAATAGGTTTTCTTCGCCTACGTCTTGGTGTACAAGTCCTTGATATCCCTCGCAAAGATATCTGTCGGTCTCTTCCTGCTGCGAATCTTCCGGTCAACCGCATTCCGTTACGCTACTTATGCCATTATTGCCATCAATGCTGCAATTGGAATCACATGGATACTAGTCGATGCTTTCCACTGTATTCCCGTCCATCTAGCCTGGACCTCATGGAGGATGGAGGAGACTGGCACTTGCATTGATTTCATGACATCGACTTATGTCAATGGATTTGTCAACATAGTCGTTGACACTATCATGGTGTCAATGCCCGTATACGAAGTCGTCAAGCTAAAACTGGACCATCGTAAGAAGGTAGGAGTTGCAGTGATGTTTGGAATGGGTCTATTGTAAGTTTAATCATCCCAACTCTCACAGTCTTTTTTTTTTTCGTTTCGTAAGCTAACTTATCCTTTAGATTGACGGCCATTGGAATTGTACGAGTGATTATCTTGTTCCAACACGATCCTACCAAAAATCCTACCTGTAAGTACCCAAGCGCTACATTTGAAGATTCATTCGCTAAACCATGCTCGATAGATGAAATGGCACCTCTAAATTACTGGTCCATGATCGAATGCCAGATAGCGATTGTCTGTGCCTGTCTACCTGCCATCCGAACACTACTCATGCACTTCGTTCCCGCAGTATTTGGCCAAGCCACCGAGGCTGCGTCTCAAAAACGAGTGAATCCCTCTTCTGATAACTCCAAGGGAGACTACACATCCAGCTCTACCTTGGTCGAGTCAGGGGATGGCTACATATCCAAAACCATGACGTATTCGGTCAACACTACGATCAAATCCGAGTCCAGCCCCTCAGAGCCATCAATAAATCTTGTCCAGATTGATCGGAGAAGGGTATGATGAGGGTGGGTGCATGTCGTCATTTGCATATAAGCAGTTATATTTAATTACTTTTTCACCAGGCTATATTTGTATATAATTAATGATACCAATTTTTCAATTGTCTTATTCTAAGACCAAGCTAGTGCTTATAGTAGATGGCAATAAACAGATATACTTAGTTATGGATCCTTCAAAACACCCAACCAGCAGTCAACTAAATAGTTGGCCCACGAAGTGGTACATGGTGGATTCAGGGCGGGTCGATCTGGTTTGCTTGTCTTGTGGAGCAATAACTAAGTATCCATCAGTGATATGTAATTACCTACACATAGATAGCCACAAGCACCCAGAGACCATACATCCTCCAGGATCGAAAGTAGACTTCTACATCTATAGGGTAGTTATCTTAAATCTACATTGATGTACTAATTTTGGTAGTCAGCTATGTGGAGCATTGAATACGATGTCGCATCTCGGAAACCAACCGAGAGGCTGACAACAAACTCCTCGGCCCAGGATGCCAGGGCGCCGCTTCTTCTATATATACCAACGAATATATCTGACTCCAGCGGGATAGCAAGAGCAAGGACACCAATACCCAACTCAAGCTCAAATCATTACTTCCTCCAGCATGGCCCAGCAAAAGCCCAAAGTGCTCTGTCTAAGCTACCCCGAGTTCACAGACAAGGCGTACCTAGCAGACTTCCAAACCAAATTCGAACTTCACGTCAGTCTTCTATCTGGATACAACCATATCTACCCTCAAGAATACCAGATATCTAACCACCAGCATGACAGTCGCTTACATCCCCTGCCCGAGCCGGCCTGGTCCCCGAACTAGCCGCCCGGGTCCGCAAAGATGGCCCCTTCGACGCCGTGGTGGTACGCATGGGCACGATCGTCTTCGAGCCATTTGACGCCGAGATGTTCTCCCCTCTGCTCCCCACATGTCGTATCATAGCCTCTGCTTCAGCAGGGTATAATGAATTCGACGTAGACTGGATGACACGGAACGGCATATGGTTCTGTAATTCGCGCAACGCCGTGTCGGAATCTACAGCTGACATGGCCCTTTTTCTCATCCTGGCGGTGTTGAAGAATGCTTCTGTTACGGAACGCTCGGCGAAAAGGGGAGCTTGGAGGGAGGGAATCGAGTGTGTTGGTAGGTCACCTCGAGGTATGGTGTTGGGTATCATTGGCATGGGGAGTATTGGGAAGGTAAGCTGATGCATTATGTACTTGGGTGTATATATGTGCTGATTGATTGTTGTGGCGACTAGCTTCTTGCTAAACGGGCTGTTGTGTTGGGTATGAAGGTGGTATATTACAATCGGAGCCGTCTTGCAGTGAA